TGAACCTTGTTCTTCAAATCCTGGTTCCCAGAACTGAAGTCCCTGCCTTTGAACCAAAACTAATCTATTGCTTCCCTTTTAAAATCAAATTACTCCTCCCAACTTTGATCACTGTCCTGTGCATGACGTGGGCGCGAGGAATTAACGGGCCAGGATGGGCAGAGCTGGCTGTGGGTGTGCTGAACATCGGGATATCACAAATCACTTCTTCTCCATGGGCAAGCACCTCCCAGAAAAGCTTCACCGTGGCGAGAGGATACAGAGAAGAAGCTGCACGAGGAAGGGAGAGGAGCCCTGCACCAGCCCAAAGGGTGCAGCTGCTGGCTGAAGCCTGTGCTAGGTTCTGCTTTGCCCCTCGACATCCGAATCGCCCCCGTGCCGTCCTCAACGCTGCCTTTGCTGCAGCCCGCGATCGCAGAAATAAAAAGGTAACGGCAGAGGTGTCCTGCACCGCCCCGCCACCCCCTCTGCAAGTTTTCTCTTTGTCTGGCAGATGTTTCTTCAAATTCAAGGGTGCAGCCAAATACTTTTTCAGTCCCTTGAACTGGAAATGGAGCCCGCTGTTCCCCTGCCAGCTTTATTAGCAGCATCGTTTCTCCGAGCGAGCACGAACCACCTGCAGGCACCACCAGTTATTTCCCCAGGTCCTTTTTAGTAAGCGCAAGAGCCAACATGAGAAGGACGTTACAGAGAAGACGAGGGGTCAGGCTTTTAGTGCCCAGGCACGCTTGTGTCAGAGCTTGCGCTGCCTGGGCACACCACGAAATCTCAGTGCCCAACGCCTCGCTGGGTGGCAGATTTGCTGCCTGCCGGGCACCCCTGTGTTTGAAGCCTTGGCACCCCCTGCGCCTGCCTGGCACCCTCTGGATGCCTCTGATGCCTGTCCCTGGCAGCACAGACACCGTGGGCGGCTGACTTGGGTCACCCCGTTACAGGGAGAAGGGGGGTAGGCAGGTGACCCGGCGATGTCCCTGCTCAAAGCCAGAGGACCACAGGGGCAAGTCCCAGAGTGGCGCGGACTGCGCCCAGCCTGCCCGCACCGCTGCCCTCTGCTCGCCAGGACACAGCGACCCGGCTGCGTATGACACATACCTAGTTATTAAGTTTTTAATTCAGCCTGCCCTAACGTAACCCTCATCTTGGATCCCGATTCACGACGGAAGCCTCCCCAAGGAACCTGCAGTCCCCGCTCACTCTGCAACACAGCCCTCCGACGCGAGACGCAGGGATTTGACCTGTAGACAAAAAGCAAACTGAAGGACCCCGGCACATTTGGAGCCTCGCGGATGGACATCACATCCAGCCAAAGCTGCTGAATGCAAAGCTCAAACAGCAAGCCCTGCTATTAATTACCACGTTCCCCCTACGGCTGCGCCCACAGGGCCACCCTCAGCCGGGCTCCCAGGGCAGGTCTGGGTGCCAGCCCCATGCTGTAAATGGCCACCAAAGCTCCAGGAGCCCAGCCCGGTGCTGGCATGGGGCCTGAGCCATGGCCGCAGGTCCAGCCCCATGTTATTTTATTTGCTCTCACCTCTCTGAATGCACCAAGGGCTTTCTTTGCATCACGCAGGCGAGAACCCCCTAAGGACGACTGCAGACGGCGCTCCCCCCTAGCTCAGCCCCCTGCCCTTCCACAGGCGATGCTGGGTGCTGTGGGGAAGCTTCTCACGGGGCTGAACGCCCTGGAGCTGCCTGCCGCCATCGCAGGGCCACCTGCCTGCTTGTCCAAGCGGCCACAGCTTGGGCCACCCTCCTTGGGATGCTCAAAGCCAGTCGGTTGGGAAGCAGTTTCCATACGGCTGGCCCCCAGCGCGGGGCTGTCACCAGAGAGATTTCCCCTTTCCAGCTGCAAACACGCCGGCTGATGTCTCCGTGGACTTTCATTAGCTGAGCTTCCGACATTTGCCTCTGAAACCCCTCAGCTGCCCCAGGGCTCCCTTTTAACCTTGGCCCAGTGACCCAACCTCCCCTGCCGAGCGGGAGCGGGGCACCAGGAGGCGACTCACCGGCCTCTCGGTCAGAGCCATTCGTGCGCTTTATGCCACTCCCCGTCGGTGACGACTTTTCTTACGAAGACAAACGGCCAGGCAAGCAATCCACTTCGTACCAAGCTGGCATTTATTTCAACCAACGCACCCACCAACATACTCGATCGGCGCTGGGGAAGCCCGCAGGCGGCTGGGCAAGGCCCTGTGGGACCCAAGCCATAACACCCGAGCAGGTCCCCCAGCCAGGCCCCACGCTTGCAGCAGGAGGGAAAAAAATCTTTTTTCTCTCTTTGTTTTTTTCCCCCCTCCAAAGAAAGGAATGATTTCCATGGGCAGAGAGAGCAGCGGTGTGCTTCTGCAAAGGAAGGGCAGGATATGGAAGGAATCGCTTTAAACGCAGCCGCTGGGAATGGCGAAGGGGGAAAACCCCCAGGTTTATTGTATTTAAAACCTTTTTGTGATGGGCACCGAGATGAATTCTTGCAGGCTGCGAGTGCCTCCGTGTCTCTAAAGAGGAAGAGAGATGGGACGGGAGGACCTGGGAGCATCATTGCTGCCGCTGGCATCAGAGCGGAGCCATCCCGCCCGCGCCGGCACCTTGCCAGCCAAAACCTGGGTATTCCTTAGCGCTCAGCGATTTCTCCTCCTGCGACTCTGTCTCCCTTCGGGCTCATTTAAAGCACATCCCTGTGCCAGAAACCCAGCCCAGTGCCATGCAGGAACAGCACGGAGCTCCAGGAAGCCTCCGTGTTGGCAGCTCTTGGGAGAGCCGGCGCCTTTCCCTCACCCTGCAACGTTCAGGTGCCCCTCGCCACGCTGTGTCAGTTCAGAGTGGCATTTTTGGGACAAAGATGGTAAAGTTTGAGAGGAGCTGGATAAAGGCTGAGGTCTGGAACGCAGAGCCTGAACGAGACGCAAGAGCAGCTGGCGGGAGCGCTCCTGCCTTAATGAAAGCTGCAGAAGTTTTCCCCAGTGGATCGGCCTTCTACCGGCTGCCTCCTCCAGAGAAGGAGGGAAGATTTGTTTATTTTGTTTTAAATCAATTCCTGGTTTGATGTTTCCCTGGGTTTTGCACGAGGGCCAGTGTTGGGGCTGGTATTTCCAGGAGCAGCTTATTCAGGGATTTTATTTTTTTTTTAAATAATGATCATAGAATCACAGAATCGTTTAGGTTGGCAAAGCCCTTTAAGCTCCCCCAGCCCAACCGCTCCCCTACCCCTGCCATCCCACCCCCAA